CTCTTTATTATCAAAGTGTTTGAATGATCTAAAGAGTTGTGAAGCGGCCCTACCGTAAGACATCCAAAATATTGTGCCCTTTTTCAAATTTCTCACTAAAGAGTGATGACCGCAGGGGCTGTTCTTAACGTTTAACTTTGAATCCGCGGCTCGAGATTTTAAGCGGCCGGTGTCATGTAAGACTTCTAAAAACAAGATTCTCATACAGATGGCCCCCACATTGAGCTCTGAACCCAACAATTTTGAAATTTGAGCGTGGGCCCTCAACATATACAAACCCTAAAGAATTATAATCATGACCGCATATGAACAAAATAGTTTGGGATCCTGCATATGTGCGGGGCTCCACACTAACTTTTTTTTTCATAATGAGTCTATACATTTTGGGGGGTTTGTCTACATACGGCACTTGTTTTTATTTTTAGAGGGGGGGGGGGGGTCATCTTTAACCTATTCCTAATTTATACTACACATCTGTTTTGTAGTTAACCTTGAATAAATTGATACAACTTTTTCAACCAGATAATGCAAAACATATGTTATTTACCTCTTATTAGTCTAATATATTTATGTGGGCCCAAGAGGTTTCGACTTGTGCAAGGTTACCTGTACATTTAAACGTGTTAAATTGTAAGACTTACGGTCCGGAATAAGAGTCAGTGACGAAGCTCCGAGGGGAGGGGGGGGGGGGGTCAAAAGGGCACATGCATTTTCTGAATTGTATTGTAAGAAAGAGAGAGAGAGAGAGAGAAAGAGAAAGAGAAGATAGAGAGAAATAGAGTGAGAGAGAAAGAATGAGATCATGGTCAAGGATTTAAATTCAATTTTCTTTAAAATTGTAAACCTGGTGTTAATGAAACTATCTGATATGTCATTGCCACGTAGTGCCACGTACAAAATTAACCACGACTATGATGTTTATTGCTGTGAAAAAAATTATTGACTTTTCACCCAGTAAATTATTATCATGTTTTCGATCTTGTTATTGAAAAAGTCAGAATTTTCTTTTGTCCTCGAACCAGCGGGGTCTACTGGGTGCAAACAGAAATTTCTAAACATCAATTGAAACTTATTCCAGGAAGCCTAACAATTAAAGCTTTTGTTTATTCAAATAGCCTTGTAGAGGCGATGAACAGATATGAGTAATAATACAGGGCCCTGGGAACGATTTTTTCACCAGGGCCGCTGAGATATATATACTGCGAAATTATTTTCGCAACGACTCAGCCAGCCACTGAATAAGCAGAGGGGGGGGGGGGGGGGGGGGGGGGGGGGGGGGGGGGGGGGGGGGGGGGGGGGGGGGGGGGGGGGGGGGGGGGGGGGGGGGGGGGGGGGGGGCATTTTTGTTTGTGTGTGTCGAATAATTTGAAAATTTTGTCCATCGGTATTTGGGGGGGGGGAGGTCTGTCATTTTGGGGTCCCCAATTAGGACAATTTTTTTTTTTTTTTTTTTTTTTTTTTTAATTTAAAAAAAAAATTCTCTTCGAGGATACATTTTATAGGATTTTGTGAAAGAAACAATATAACTTTTTTCTTTCTAATCTTCATTTGTGGCTGACGGCTGTGTGACAATTTTGTAAACGAAGCATATAATGATATACATTAATATATCATACGAAAAAAAATTGCAGGGATGCTGTGCCCCCCCCCCCCCCTGTAAAAATCCGGGGTGCTGCAGCACCCCCAGCACCCCGCTTCCCAGGGCCATGTAATAATAATACACAGCCGTTGGCACTGCGGACAGTGAAAACAACAATGTGAAATCAACAGTGAAAACAACAAAGTGAAATCAACTGTGAAATCAACTACATGTTTCAAAAGTCCCTAAAGAGTAAATTGCTATTCATATCCTATAGCATTACATAATATTAATAATAATACAACTTGATATTTATATAGCGCACATATCCACCATACAAGTTGCTCACGGCGCTTCGGTGTTTCACCGGTGTCAGGGGCCAAAGTGACCGGGTGACGTTCTGTGTCCTAAGACACAGAACGCCGAAATTGGTTGGCGATACCGTCCGTCTTCGGCGATATGTGTCTTGGGTCGGACGCATATCGCCGCGTATAGCACGGCGAAATCAGTCCACTGGCGAAATGCGTTCTTTTTTTTTTGTTGGGTCTCGAAATTTGAAAAATTGACATTTTGCTCCCTTGGGGGGGGGGGGGAGGGGTAAGGTCACCTTTTTAGGTCAGCCATGGGAATATTTTTTTTTTTATAAAAAATAAAAAATAAAAAAATAAAGGGGGGGGTTTTAGGGGGGGTTATGGGGGTTTACACACAGAAAATTACCAAAAAAGGGGGTTAAAACCCCCCCCCCCCCCCCCCCCCCCCCCTGTGTACGCGCCTGTACTTGACTAAACTGGCTTAATAACTTGTGTGTTTTTTTAACAAAATATGGCCTGGACGTACGTACGTACGTACATTTTCGCGCGCCCAGTCTAAGAATTCAGACTCCTATTCCGAATATGCATGTAGACATGTTAAACGATTTAAATTAATGGCTGTGCAGTGAATAATTGCCCCGAGGATGATTAGAAATATATTGACATTTAAGTTATACTGACATTAAACTTAATTATTGAAAATATATCGCCATTTTGTTTTAATGTAGAGATTTCGTTTGATATAGTTGCAAAATATGAGTTATTTGCAATCGATTGCAACTCAACATTTTTTGCAACGTCCCATTATAAAAACATAACACTTCAAACATAAAGACAACTAAATAATACGCCAAACTTTTTGTTTTAAGGTGTTTGTTCTTCATCTTTTCTATTCTCTTTTCCTATCTCTTCTTTTTTTTCCTTTCTCTTCTCCTTTCTTTTCTCTTCTTCTTTCTTTTCTCTTCTCCTTTCTTTTCCTCCTCTTCTCCTTTCTCTTTTTCTCTTTTTTCTTCCTCTTTTTTTTCTTCCTTTTGCGCCGCCAATAGGGGGGCCGCGGCCGTTTCGGCCCCCCCCCCTGGATCCGCCACTGACTCTTATATTCTCTGAAATGTTATCTTTATTGAGGGTGACTTGAAAAAGTTAATAACTTGGAAGGAATCGGGGGTGCAACCTGCCACACGCTTCTACCTCTTGGTTGCTTTGATCCATTGACGAAAATATTTTGGCATCTATCATCCCCCCCCCGCAAAAAAAAAAAACCACGGATACAATCGACACCCTTGCCCAAGTCCGTCTAAAGCACGAGACAGTTGCGCAACATGACTGGTTTTCCGACAATTGAATAAATGTAGTACTGGAAGGTATCGTAAATCCACCAGAATCTTAAAGTAACTCTCAGCCCCCCCCCCGTTTCATTTTCTTGCAGATTTTCAATAAATCAATGTCATTATTTCAGCCTGCATGCCTTGATTATATGGTATGTCTATGGTTTTCTTTGTATGTCAGTTATTGCTATACATGTTTTTACTTGCAGTTCTTTACCTCTCTCTTTAAACTTCTCTCCTTTTCCCCCCTTTCTTTTGACCTCCCCTTTTCTCTCTTCTTGCATGTACTTGTATGGTGATTATTGTTGTCTCGCTGAAATGATTTACATGCAATACATGCATTACATGTATTACATGTAGACTATGTGTATAGGTTGTTCATTCAGGCAATGTGAAGTTTTATTAATAAGGAATAATATGTTAATTGTCTATGTTCTTCCATTCCCTGCTCTCTCTCTCTCTTCCTTTCTCTCATTGTACCCCCCCCCCCCATTTCTCTCATCCTCTCTCTTTTTTACCCCTTTTGCTCTATCACTCTCCCTTTCATGAGCTATATATCTTCCCCAGCGCTTTTGTATCTCCTACTAGTACATCCTTTCATTTAATGTATATAAACAAACGCAATAAAATTCTTTTGCATTGTCATTATGTTAATGATTTATTTACTATGCTATTGTACATGTATATACATCACTGTACTTTTGTAAATTGTCCCTTTCAGCTTTGTGCTGCTGGTCGATCATTATATACCAACAAATTAAAAAATGTAATTATTCATGATATATCACAATGAAAATAAAAGTCTATAATCATATGTCAACTGACAATGGTCTTGAGCTACTAGCCCCAAAATGTAATTGGATCATCTTTGGATCTATAGTAATACTGTCACTGTATTTATGCTAAACATTTCAGAATTTGACAACTGTGAACTTTGACCTACTTACCTTAAATCTTATGGTGATACTATCATCAAGTTTGAGGCTAATACCTCTAATGGTTCTTTAGATATCCCAATAAGGATAAAGCCTGTAATTCAGAAATTGACTTCCATGACCTTTGACCTACTTACCAAAAAAAATATCAGATCACCTTCCTATGGTGATACATATTATCACCAAGTTTCAGCCTCATATCTCTAGTGGTTCTTGAGATATCACCATAACAAGGCTATTATCTAGAATTTCAGAAGTTGACCTCTGTGACCTTTGACCTACTAACCCAAAATCTAATCAGATAGTCTTCCTAAGGTAAGGAACAACATATCGCAGCCGATGGCTGAATTGAAGGCATGATTTACAAATATTATATTAAAAACATCATATTTACAACTCATTATTTAACAATAATTCAAGATCATACAAAAGTTATTTTACGGCATAGAAAACATTAAGAACATGTGGATATGATAACAAATTAATGAATATCAGGCATAAGTAATATGCAGAAAGGGAAGAAAGAAGTAAAAGAAAAATGTGGAGCAGGAAAATAAAGAGAAAAGGGAAGGCATGTTGAGGGAGAGGGAGTGGACCGGGGAGTGGAGAGAGAAGGGGAGAGAGAAGGGAAGAGAGAAGGGAAGAGAGAGAGAGAGAGAGAGGGAGAGAGGAACACAAACACAGAGCTGGTATTACATAATTCAAATTAAAAATGTCTTTGAAAAAAGTTATTTCATCCAAGTTAGTTTAAATGCACTTCAAACTGCTCATCACACCAGACAATGATAATGGCAGAAAGTGTTTAAAACAGATGGTTTTAGAGTAAACAAACATTCTATTGGCAAAAAGATTGATCTTGTCTATTTGTGTTTTAATTAAAATGAACACCACCACAGATTTTTTTTTAATGCCAAATTGGTAACAAACTGCCAACTAGGGCTGAATATGCTTCAGACCAAACTACATCAAAGATTTTAGTAATTGTATGAAGTTGATATCCCTACAAGAACTTAAATTGATAAATAAAATATAAATTTGTACAATAATTTAGATGTCTATTTCATTTCCATATCATACTTTAAATCATTATGCACTTTACATAATTTTCAACAAAATACAAATAGGCACTATGTTAATGATAAATAACATTTAGTTGTTACTTCAGCACCACCTATTTCTTCTCCCTAGGGATCCTTCCCAGCAAGTAGAACTCTTTGTTAGGTCTAGAGCTAGTGAGGTGTGCCAGACGATTAGACATGGCAAAGAAAGCAGCAACACTGCCCACCATGAAGGCATCCTCTTGGTCTAGTCCATGAGCCTCAAGGTTAGTGAAGTGTTCATCTGTGATTGGTTCATTCTTACACACAGCCAGTGCAAGATCTAAGATAGCCCTCTGCCGGGAGTCTAAGGCAGCCATGTCAACGTTGGCAACAATCTGTGGGGATATCATACATGTGGAAAATAAGGGTATTTAAATAAGAAACCTCCTTTAAAATGCTAACAGTTGGGTGTATTCCAATGAAAAGTTTCTTGTTCATACCAAATAGGGGGAAGGTGGGTGGGGGGGGGGGGGGGGGTCAACCCTGTAAAAAATGTTGACTCATGCAAAACATAGGTCATTTTGAAATCCTGGAATTCATGAGGTACATCTTCAGATTGCATTAGTGAATACCATGGAAATAATTCCTTCCTCATATTGGGCAGTTCCGAAACCAGATAAATCCTCCAGTAATATCCCAGAAAACCTGTACTTTTTACATGAGGTATTCATCGTGTTTGACCTTACCTGATCTGCCAACGTTGGATTTTTGCTGTAAATTCTATGCAATGCACTGTGAGCAATGATACAGTACATGCAGTTGTTCACAGAGCTTGTTGCCACGACGATCATCTCTTTATCAGCCTTGGTGAGGTTGCCACTATTCTCCATCAGGACATTGTAATAATTTACGAAAGATCGGAAGGAATCTGGATGATAAGATAGCATCTTGAAAACATTGGGCAGAAATCCGCTCTGTAGTTTATGGTGTAGATAATACAAAAAGAAACAAAGAAGATTGAAATTTTAAAGAAAGAAATATGCTATATTTGCTGATCATGAAATTATGTATATTTCTAGTTCATCCTCAATAACCAATAGATGTGTAGAATAAATGAGATACCTCCATGTTTAATTGAAAAGGGCACTTACCTTTGTCAATAAATATTTATACTTTCCTAAATCTCTAATATATCTTACAACACCTTGTTTCTTGGGTAGAAATTTAAAGAAGAAAAGCTGTAAATGAGGATCTCTTCCTGTCCCTGCATTCAATCATTCCAACACTATCCCGACAAAAATGGGTACTGATGCAGATGATCTGTCCTTAAAAAAAAAAATCACCTGCAATGATTGACAGGTCGGTGTTAATGGGGCAGTGGCGTATCCAGCAAGGAGAAAATACATGTACACTACCTTCACCAATTGCATGTGTAGTTTCTCCTTGAAAGGCCAGGAAACACACAGTGAAACTTGCTATGAGGTAGCTGACAGATACATTTACTAAGCCCCTGTCTTGGGAGGATGCCACCTTTAACAATGTCTGGATAGGCCATTTGGGGTATGCATGTAGCTAGGTATAGGGTTAAAGATCAAACGATTGTTCAAATGTATTATTAACAGTTAATAGAGCACAAGTGAATAATTGCCTGATTTTTGTTAGTTTTCAAAATTAGCTAGTGCTAAATGAAGCGTAATATACTGTTAATACTTATAATGCTATCTCATTGAATGGAGACCCTAACCCATAATTTCATAAGAAAAATATAACGCAGATATCGTGAAATTAATATTTTGGAGTATGTTTTCAAAGTGTGTACTTTTGTTAATATGCTCTTTGTATTGGTAATGTGACCTTTTAACTCACACTTACCTTTTCTTCTACTTCATCCATGACCTGTTGTACGTCATCTGGCAGAGTCTTGCGATCTGGGATGGGGAAGCGGCTTACAGGAGGAGAGCTTTCACCATCAGCTTGCAAAATGGTGGATGACGTACAGATTTGTCGAGCCCTGTTTGAGAACCTGGTGCACTACATTAAGAAAGATACAATACTGGTCAAAGTATTACAACATCTGCTAAAATAAACAAATTTGAACGTTCATCAATATCAAGTTCTTATTTAGTAATGTGGGATATACATGTACTAAGTATAAGAAAGTTGTGGACAATCCGACAATTATGATGTCCTGTTTAGCAACATTCTTACATCCTAAAGTAATTATTTGTGCGAGGAGAAAATCTTTAAATTTTCACATAAGACTTCATTAGGAAATAATATTATTTGAAAAATTCCTCTGATATCATATATCAATAAATTGTGGATTCAAAGATTCTGTTGCCACATACATGTAGCAAGTTAAAAGGAAAAGAGGAAATATCAAAGAATAAAAAATTTTTAAAAAATATGGTGGAAAGGGTAAGAGATATATGGAATAAAGAGGGGGATAGAGAGAGGGGATAGAGAGATGGAATTATAGGTCTACAACATGCCTAACTTTAAAATAGATTGCAACCACAAATTTACCTTTTTCTTTTTGTTTTTTGTTTTGTTTCTATAGTGTGCACACTACCCCCCCCCCCCCCCCTCCCCCACTGAGCTAAATATCAGTCAGCTCGATTTATACATATCCAGGGGAAAAAAAACGAAACAAATATTTTAATGCTGACTACCCCCCCCCCCCCCCCCACTAAACGAAAAGTCAAATTTCAGCTCCCCCCCCCCCCCCCCCATATGAAAATTCTGGATCCGCCACTGATCTAAGACATGCGCATTACGTTGATCCAGTCTCAGCCTCATTTTCCTAAATTGGTGTCTACAAAGGCTAGGCCTATCGCTGGCTGCCCACTGTTCAATTTTACATGTAAGTACATTATATGTAAGTAATTCACATTATGACGATTATCATTATTACGGTCCCTAACTTCACGCAGGCACCTGCTTGCAACATTTCGTCAATATGGTATGCAATAGTATTGTAATTGTGCAGTAGTTTGCTGTGAAACCTGTGAGACAGTGTATATTTATGACGTCTCTGTTTTTAGGAAAAATACTCCAAAAGAGATAGAAAATTCCACCTGCACACACCCCCAGTATAGTACAATAAATACTTTGTAAAGAGGTCTGTACTCAAAAGGAAGAAGAAGAAGAAACGGGTAAGAACGTACCAATTTTTAAAATCATGACAATTCTATGAATAATTGATGAAGATTTAGTTGATTCTTGGTATTCTTCTTCTTCGTTTGGTATCATAAATATAAATGGCCATTTAATAGTCAAATTTGACTATTGTTGCCAATTTCATTGCATCTTTTTCTTTTCCAATCTCATTTGAATATAATATATTAAGTCATACTCATCATCATACTCATAGTCTACCCAGTTTTACTTTTACAAACTGGAATTCTATTTCAAATTAAATGACGATCCACACGCAGTTCCAACTTACGCTGGCCCTGTCCTTTTTATGATGCCTTCTTAGTCTTACCAAGAGAGTAGTGAAGCTGTGATGTCATAAAAATCTATTTTTTAGAATTTCTCAATTTTTTTCTTCATTTTCCGAAAGAGCATCAAAAATAATGTCCAAATGTCGAATTCAGTCGAAAACCAATTGAATACCGGTATGTTAAGTATTGACTGAGGAACTCAGTGTTATATGCTCTGGCTCCGAATGGTTAGGAGCCAGAGCAGAGCATTATAGCATAGGCTATATGTAAAACTATAGGAAATATATTTATTTATTATGATGATGTCCACACTTCACCACTCTACACCAACACCAATACCAGCCAAGCTGATCTTGCCCATGCATCTTAATATCATGACCGTCAATTCATGAGCTCGATGATTCATTAGGCTTGACTGTGTTTATCTGTGATCTCAACTCTATTGTTTTGTTTCTTTGCATCTAATTCATAGCATTCCTATGAATTTTCCAGGTACTTCTTTAACCTCTTTTTCTACTTGGTTGGATATTTAACCACTGAGTAAAACAACCAATCTGATCTCTTCACATGTGAATGATGTGAGTCATAATGAATGTATGTTAAACAGTCTGTAGACCTCTATATGTATTATGTACGCTAGAGAAAATCATTATTTTTCTTAGGTTGATTCTGGGCCCCAGAAGCAACCCACGTGTTAGTTTTTTTCCTTTGTAAATGAGTCTTTTTTTCCTTACTCATTTTGAGGAAGTTTGTAAAATATGTTAACACATCACGTTTTTGTATACGTGATGCTTGGCCATGCGGAAAGGATGGCTTTTGACATCTCTATCAATTGTGTTTATGTCTTTTTTTCCCCTTTTGTGCTATTGTTAAATCCAGTTACTTACTTTATAACCACAGATCTATGTGCAGATTTTAGTCAATGCTACTCAATTGAGCCACACTCAGTCTGATGATAATATTGTTGCAGAGTTGAATATGAATGCAACACATTTTGAATACATGTTGAATGACGAGGTTGAAACTACAGTGTACGACTCAAAATATTTTACTGGAAAACAATTTTCTGAACATTTAGAAAACTGTCCTGTCAATGAAACGTCCTTGTTGCACTTACATGTGCGTAGCATGAATGCAAATTTTGACAGGCTTTCCTTGTTTTTGGACACTTTTCAGGATAAGTACCCAATAATTGGAATCACTGAAACTTGGTTTTCTAGTCACCCAACTGCCATGTACGATCTTCCTAGGTATCAACTAGTCACTAATGATCGACAAAGCAGATCCGTGGTGGTGTAGCAATGTATATTCCCATTTCATTTGAGTGTCATACAAAAACAGAATTGTACATTATGAATGATTCATTAGAATCTCTATTTGTTGAGATTATAATTCCTGGAGAAAAAAACTTGTTAGTGGGAGTAGTCTATAGGCTACCAAATGGTGATGTGAATGAATTTATTGAAGAATTGTCTAACACTCTTTCAAGCCCATTATTCAGAAATAAAAAAATAATTATTATGGGTGATTCTAATATAAATTTATTAAGTTATGATCACAATAACTCTGTTAATAATTTTGTTGATACTTTAAGTACATTCTCTTTGATTCCTCTGATTAATAAGCCAACTAGAGTAGCAGAAAACTCACAAACCTTGATTGACAATATTTTCACCAATATGCACCCTATTCCCACTGCTGGTATAATAGTGGCCGATATATCGGATCATTTCCCTATATTTGCTAGAACATCTTTAGCATTAAGGAGTTCTTGTAATGAATACTGTGATAAGTTAACACGGAAATTTACTCAGGGAAATATAGCAACATTTAAGAGAGAATTGGAAACTGTTGAATGGAACGAAGTTTTATGTGAAACAGAAGTTGATAAGTCTTTTGATAAATTCATGGATATAATGGTGTTATTTTATGACAGATGCTTTCCCTTGGTGCAAAGAAGTAAGGAAGAATATAAAAGAGTACCTCGAATGCCATGGGTCACTAAGTCTTTACTCAGGTCAATAAATAAAAAGAATCGTTTGTTTTGTAGATACAAAGCAAAGCAGACTGGTGTAGCCAAGCTTAAAGTATACTAACTATAGAAATATATTGACTTCTGCTCTGCGCCAAGCAAAGAAAGACTATTATCATTTTCAATTCCAGTCTACGTGTAATAATGTTAAAGTCTTGTTAAATGTCTTGAAAACCAATCCTAAACTACAGAGTATTACAAAACTCACCTGGAAGGATGGTCTTATTGAAGACAAGAAACTTATGTGTGAAGCATTTAATGAATATTTTTCAAACATTAGTGCTACTCTGTCTAGCTCCATACCTGATATACCGGAAACCTATGGAAATTATTTAACCAGTCCAAATGAAAATACTTTATTTTTTGTTCCTGTATTGAATTCTGAGGTTATAGATGTTGTAAGTGGCTTGAAAAGGAAAAAGAGCCCTGGATACGATGGTATAACTAATGATTTGATAAAAGAAGTAATTTCATTTGTAGTTGTACCTCTCACTCACATTTATAACTTGTCTTTAATGCATGGAATTGTTCCTAAAAAAATGAAAATAGCTAAAGTTGTGCCTATATATAAAAAAGGGAACCCTGTAGAAATGGGTAATTATAGACCAATTTCTCTACTTACTGTCTTCTCCAAGATTTTGGAAAAACTTGTATATCGTCGGCCTTATGCCAAAAGGGCCTTAACCCGATTTTGGGGGTTATTGAGTTATTAATATCACCTTGTAGATTTCATCATTCTCTTTAAAATGATGTGCTTCACTTGTTGAAATCGATTTATTTATGAAGATAATTATGAATTTCAAAAGGGCCTTAATGCGTATCTCATCTTTTTCCTTACGCCAAAAGGGCCTTAACCTCCACGGATGATCCATTTGCGTTAGGAGGGCCTTTCTGGCAAACCAAAGGTGTTGCGAAACAAGAAAATTTCCTTTTGCCAAAAGGGCGCTAACTATGCGCGCGTACGCGCGCATAGTTACGCGCATAGTTACGCGTACGATAACGGCAGGTTAAGGCACTTTTGGCATAACGCCGCGTAGGTTACGCCCCTTTTGGCATAATGCCGAGTAGGTTACGGCCCTTCTGGCATAACATATGCTAACATACGCTACATTCAAGCCTTATGCCAAAAAGGCCCTAACATGTTTTTTGCACATAGCATGTACAATTCTGAATATTTTATAACAAATTTAACACATTTCATGTAAAACTTAATAACTTAACACATTTATCGAAATTGGCTTCAAAAGCAAAAAAACGACCACAAACTTTTGATTATTAGAGAGGCCAAAACCTTTAAACGCGATTATCTCGGAATGTCCAAAAGCAGTTAAGGCCCTTTTGGCATAAGGCCGACGATATATTAGATTGATAAAGTTTTTGAAGTCGTGTCAAGTTTTCTCAAATTCTCAGTTTGGTTTTCGCGAGAAACACACAACTTCTCATGCTGTTTTATGTCTTTTAGACAAAATATCTTCGGCACTTGATAAACACCTCCATACGGTTGGTATATTTTTGGATTATTCCAAAGCTTTTGAAATGGTGAACCATAATATTTTGTTGCACAAGCTCTCTTATTATGGGGTAAGAGGACCTGCACTCGAATGGTTTAGAAGTTATCTTAGTAACAGACAGCAATTTGTGCAGCTCGGCGAAATTTGTTCAGATATGTTACCCGTCACGTGTGGAATACCTCAAGGTTCCCTTTTGGGTCCCCTGCTTTTTATTTTATATGTAAATGATTTTCCAAAATCCTCAGAGACGTTTTCTTTTTTGCTATTTGCAGACGATATAAGTGTATTCTGTTCTCATAGAAACTTAAAAACTCTTTTAGAAACTGTAAATAGAGAGCTTTGTGTATTGACTAAATGGATTCATGCAAATAAACTGTCACTAAACTTATTAAAAACTAAACATATGTTATTCAGTAATAGTGAAACAGTAATGCCTGGTAATGTAGTCTTTGATCAGGTAAATATTGAAAAGGTCTCATTTATTAAATTTTTAGGTCTCCACATTGATGATAAATTGACTTGGAAGATGCATACTACTCATTTAAGTAAAGTGCTCTCTAGAAATGTTGGTATGATCAACAAATTGAAGTTTGTATTCCCAAGAAATGTACTTAGCATGTTGTACTGTTCCTTAATTTTGCCATACTTAAATTATGGTGTGCTAGCCTGGGGTGCCTCAGCCAAATCCTACTTAAATAAAATTCTGCTCATTCAAAAGAGAGCAGTGAGAATTATTTCGGCAGCTGATTGGCGCGCTCACACTGACAAGCTATTTTACGAAAATAAAATGCTGAAGGTAAAATAGTCTATATATACTTTCTATATGTATCTGGGATATCTTATGTAACAGTTGGAGAAGGGTGAAGCTCCCATGGCAATAGCATCTATTTTTGTAAAGAATAACCAAATACACAAATACTCTACTAGGCAGGCTGCCTTATACCATGTATCATCAGCTAGAACTCAGCTTAGGATTAATACACTTGCACATACTGGACCAAAGTATTGGAACTCTTTAGACTGTACCATTAGGCAGTCTGTAAGCTCTTCTGTCTTCAAACGTAAGCTGAAATTTCATCTACTGTACACCTACAGTGAATAGATCTGATATTTATTAGTATTCAAGGTAACTGGATTAGCATTGTCGTCCCCCCCCCCCCCCCCCCGTGTTGTACATTATCCTCCTTCCCCTATTTCTTTACTTTTCCATTATCTTTATTCTGTTTTCTTTTTTAGTCTACCATATTTTGTAAATTTGACTAGACTCTAGTCTAATAGCCATTATAATACCAAAAAAACAACATTACAACAACAACAATTAGTGGTAGATCTGATATTATTTATAGTCTGTATAGGTAACTAGATTAGTATTAGTCCCCCACTCCCCCTCCCCCTGTAATTATAACCTACTTCTTTAAAAAAAAAAAAAAGGTGTTTCTGTAAAGGTGATCTGTGTTTTAACAAGCTGTGCTTTTTTAACAGACCACCTCTTTTTCCACATAATTTGTTAAAGTCTTGGGCCCGAATTCACAAAGCAAGGTTTGAGCTCAGACCAAGGTTTGGCCTCAAACCTCCTTTTGTTTCGCCAAACCTTTTTTTGTTATTTACAAACCTGGTTTGTAAATAACAAAGGGAGGTTTGGCGAAACAAAAGGAGGTCTGAGCTCAAACCTTGCTTTGTGAATTCGGGCCTTGGCTTTAGGTTTACACTATGAACATGACTGACAATGAAAGCGGACAAAATATACAGTTCCTCAGGTAGACAAAGGAACATCCCTTCACTGATAATAGACCTATGTAAAAAGGTGAATATGCATGTGACACCTGTTCTACACATTTTTACATAATAGCAGTGAACGGATGTTCTTTGTCTACCTGAGGAACTGTATATTTTGTCCGCTTTCATTGTCAGTCATGTTCATAGTGTTAACTGTTTCATTGTTAATGTATTTATGCTAGTTGACGATGAACTTGTTAGTCTACTTGTTCCTGAATGAAATTTTTTTTTTATGCAAGCGGAAAGAAATAAATAAATCTTGAATCTTGAAATCTTGTTATTTACGTCGTACGCTTCTCGGTTGGTTTACCTGTATGTTTAGAGGGTATGTTTAAGTAGGGTATCTCCACGCCGGAGTTACGGGTCAAAACTGGATACGGTACAAGTCACTAGCACCCAGCCCCAGCTTATACCTACCTCGTCGTTCCCGTAGAAGAGTCCACGTCTGGCGGCTGCTATGGCTACGGTAGTTCTCGAGAACATCCTACTCCTAGAAGACAACAGTGCCATGTCAATTACAGTATACCCAAATCTGCCCCCAAATCAATCGCAAGTTCTCCAATCAATCGCAAGTTTGCAGTCCTCTATCTCTGTAATTAGGGACTTTTAGATTCGCACAAAGACAATGGGGATTGCTACGATCGACGTCCTTTAATGCACTGCCTTGAATGGACGTCACACGTATCAGTCCACGCAAATCTAAAAGTCCCTATTATAGTCCAGAATCTGGGCGGCCGGCGCGACCACGTAGAATGTTACCCGCACCGATCGTCCGCCTATTAGGGATCGATCGAGAGCGGACGATCGGTGCGGATTTTATCCGAAGGACAGTGCGGAAGAGGTCTCGCACCAATAGTCCGCCTGCCGCACCGAATGTCCGTACTCTAGTCCACATATTCAATACAAGTATAATTATACTTAATGAATGAAACGACTGGATAACCCATATTCAGCTTTGCCAGCTAGCTAGGGATGACACTACAGGTCTTCCCGGCGCGGATCAAGGGGGGGGGGGGGGGGGCCTTGACCCCCAACCGCCAACAAAAAATGAAGAGAGAGAGAGAGAGAAAAGGTAAAGCGGAGAGTAAGGGAAAGGAAGAAGAGGAAGAACAAAAGAAAAGGGGGGAAAAAAGGAGATCGGGGGCGAAAGGCCTTCACCACCCCCCCCCCCCCCCCCTTTCAGCAAGAGAGAGAGAGACAGAGACAGAGAGAGAGACAGAGAGACAGAGAGAGAAGGAAAGGAAAATAAGGGAAAGGGAAAGAAGAGACAAAGGGAAAGGAAGAAGAAGAAGAAAAAGGGGAAAGAAGAAGATCGGGGGGGGGGGGCGAAAGGGCTTTGCCTCCCAGGCTGTTGCCCCCCCCCCCCCCCCCCCAGCAAAAAGAAAGAGAGAAGGAAGAGAAGGGAAAGTAAAAAGGGAAAAGAAGAGATAAAGGGAAGAAAAGAAAAAAAGAGATAAAGGGAAGAAAAGAAAAGAAGAGGGATATAAGTTGCAGTTTTCCCGCCAACAAGTTGGGGATCGGGGGGGGGCAAATGGCCCTTGTCTCCCCCCCCCCTTCTACAGCAAACTTAGAAGAGAGAGAAAAGAGGAGAAGGGGAAGGGAAAGAAAAGAAAGGTACGGGAGATCAATTGTGATTTTTCCCACAAACGCGGTGTGGATCGGGGGCGAAAGGCCTTCGTCTGCCCTCCCCTGGCCCCTCAGCAAACAAAAAGAGAGAGAGAGAGAAAAGGAAGGAAAAGAAGGGAAAGGGAAAGAAGAAAGAAGAGGGAAGGAAGAAGAAAAGAAAAAAGGGGTCCGACAGGGCCTTGCCGCCCATGCTGTTGCCCCCCCCCCCCCCCCGCAAAACAAGAGAGAAGGAAGGAAAGGGAAAGAAACAAAAGAAGAAAAGAAAAGAAGGGATATCAGTTGCAATTTTTCTGCAAACAAGATGTGGGTCGCGGAGAAAGGCCTTTGCCTCTGCCCCCCCCCCCCTCCCGCCAAAAAAAAAGAGAGAAAGAATGGAAAGGGAAAGAGGAGAGCCACAATGGAACACAAAATAGGAAAAAGAAAAGAAAAGGGTGAAAAGAAGCAGAGATCAGTTGCGATTAATCCCACCAACATCGTGTGGATTGGGGAGAGGGGGCGAAAGGCCCCTGCCTCCCTCAGCAAACTTAAATGAGAGAGAGAGAGCGAAGTAAGGGAAGGGAAAGGGGGGAAAAAAGAGGAAGAAGAAGAAAGGTGGGCAGATCAGTTGCAATTTGTCCCGATTTGTACCCCTCCCCCCCCCCCCCCCCCCCCTCAGCAAAGAGAGAGAGAGAGAGAAAGAGATGGAGAAGGGAAGTGAAAGGGAAAGAGGAGAGAAAGGGACAGAAAACAAAGAAGAAGAAAAGAAAATGAATTAAGGAAGATCAGTTGCGATTTTCATTGGTTCTTCTATCATCATTGTACAACTACCATTGTACAAATGTATTTATATATTCATTTATTTATTCCTGTTTGATAACAAAAATATGAATATAAACTCACAACAGCAACAAAATTAAATGTAGAAGGAAACTATCTTGCTGGGAGCAAGAAGCGCAAAAATGATCATGCATTTGCATGTACATGTAAGTGTATCATTAATATCATTCATATTGTTTATTTACATCTTGTGAAATAGTATGCATTCAAGCTTTGGGGATTTTTTGTTGTTGGTGTGTTTGTATGAAAAAAAAACATTTTTGAGCTTATGATGCACATGTTGCAATTTCAGGTGCAACTTAGTGTTCAATATGGGTTACGCATTGCCAGGCATTAGTGTAGGAAATCTTTAAATGTTAATCAGGTATATGACTAAATTACTTGTCTGTTGCCTTACGAAAAAAATGATATTTAGTCAGGCCTGAATTGAGTCGCAAAACAATCATTGTGTTAAAAGGAAAAAAACATATTTGATGACATTCGAAATTCCCCAATAACCAATACAATTGGAAAGCGAGTACTCGTTTTGTTTTTCTTAAAAAATTACTCAACTATAAATAGCTGGCCCGGATACTTGAGCCTCTCACAAAACTCAATTATAGGCCTGATGTGTCGTCAGGGGCGTCGCTAGACCTTTTTCAGTGGGGGGGGGGGGGATATAGAGGCCAACGATTACCGACAAAACAAGCCACCAATTACCGACAAAATTAAATGTCCCAATATCTACAAATGTAACCCTATAAACCCGAGGCCAAAGGCTAAATTGTTATGCGCAAATGGTCATTTTCGTCGACGACATAAATATACAAATTATTTCGCCAACTTAGAAAGCATCATAGCTATATATTTTAATGCAGGCGCGTACTTAGATCTTATTTTAGGGAGGGGCGGTATTGAGCAAGCGAATCACTTAAAGAGCACGCAAAACGCTCCCTAGTTACACAATTATTATAGGAGGAAGACGATTTGTTATATACCGTTCTCTACTCTTAACCCTAATCGTCTGAATTCACTTTTCCCCCTCTCGCGCGAAGCGCGGGAGCTTCGACGTTTCATTAAATTATTAGAAAAAGTAGACGATTCATTGTACCGACTCTAAATCATTGTCTGAATTTTCAAAAATGTTTCTTTGTCCGATAAAAAGTCACAGTTCGAAGGGGAAAAAATTGCTGGCCGACCGACATAAAAAAAAATCCCACCGGCTTCAAACTCACACCCCCCCCCCCTTTAGCGACGCCCCTGAATGTAGGGTGGCCTGTGCGGGTAGATTTCTTTGATAATGGTAGATTGTAAATTTAGTGAAGATATTAAGTCGTTAAATATAAGAAACGACTGAAAATATACGTTGGCGGCAAATGAGGAAGATATTCACGTACCATTGACATGGTCCTATACAGGCGCGTACGCAGGATTTTTTCAAGGGGGGGGTTTTAACATTTATAAATCGGTCCGAAAATTTCGCAACGACTCAGCCAGCCGCTGAATAAGCGGGGGGGGGGGGGGGGGGGGGGGGGGGGGGTAAGAGGACACATTTTTTTTTTTTTTTCGTCCCAAAAAAATCGCAACGACTCAGCCGACCGCTGAATAAGGGGGGGGGGGGGGGGGGGGGGGGGGGGGGGGGGGGGGGTAAGAGGACACTTTTTTTTTTTTTTTGGTCTCGAAATTTGGAAATTTGACATTTTGCTCCGTTGGGTGGGGGGGTAAGGTCACCTTTTTTAGGTCGGCCATGGGAATAATTTTTTTTTTTTTTTTTTTTTAATAATTAAAAAAAAAAAAAAAAAAAAAAAAAAAAAAAAAAAAATCCAAAAGGGGGGGGTTTTAGGTTTTTTTTAGGGGGGTTTACACACAAAAATTTTCCAAAGGGGGGGGGTTTAACCCCCCAAACCCCCCCCCCCCCCCCCTGCGTACGCGCCTGGTCCTATACTCACTACTCAGTTTACAGGGTTCAATAGAACATATGGCTCCGTTTAGTCTCATTTCACAACGCCCCCTATCGTCAGAGCATGATCAGAGTCAGCAGCCTAACATGTTAGCCTATGGACGTTTTTTTTTTTTTAAATCGTTAAAAATTCATTTTTTGTTTAAACGAGAAGCACATCCACCCCGACATACGTTATCACTAGCTCTTTCATTGGAGCCCTCATGTCTCGTTGACTTTTGAAAGTTCACCCACCGTAATTTTTCAAAATAGGTTGCAAGCTCTTCATTGCCTATAATACACATGTGAAACAAGTCTAACTTTGGACTCAGTTTACCAAGCGATTTGAAGATTATAGGTCGAGCACACGAAACATAAAAAGCATGAGTTATCATAGATCACTTCTGCCTATTTCATTATGTCCATTTCATCCAACCCCCCACCGTAATTTTTCCATTTAGTAAAAGCAAACATTTTGCCGAGTTTAGCAAAAACATGAATATTCATGAACGGTCAGACATTACAGCCTTTTAGTACGTAACGTATAGTGAATGGGAATGGGCGATGATCCGTTCAGGAGGTAGAGGTCAGTGGTTTGTGCTGGCAATGTTCACGCGAGCGAAAATGAGACAATCGGAGCAATATGTACATGTTCATTTATATAATAAAAGGAAATCATGAATATTCAAATATCATAGGTAGCAAATAAAGGATGACTAACAGAGGAATGACAACAAACAGATAGGAGAGGATGATCAAGCATAATGATGGTTCCATGACACATGCTCCGCCGACGATTGCTCCGCCGACATTTACTCCGCAAAACGCGACAATTGCTCCGCGACATTTGCTCCGCGACATTTGCTCCGACGTCAAATGCTCCGCCGACAGGTGCTCCGCCGACAGTTGCTCCGCCGACAGTTGCTCCGCCGACAATTGCTCCGCCGACAGATGCTCCGCCGACAATTGCTCCTCCGACAATTGCTCCGCCGACAATTGCTCCGCCGTCAATTGCTCCGCAAAACGCGACAATTGCTCCGCCGACATTTGCTCCGCCGACATTTGCTCCGCCTGAAGCGACACTTGCTCCGCCGACATTTGCTCCGCCGACAATTGCTCCGCCGACAATTGCTCCGCCGTCAATTGCTCCGCCGACAATTGCTCCGCCTGAAGCGACAATTGCTCCGGTGACATATGCTCCTCCGACAATTGCTCCGACGACATTTGCTCCGCCGACAATTGCTCCGCCGACAATTGCTCCGTCGA